TAAATTCACTGTAGGAGTCTAAATTCTTTCGATATCCTTATCAGGTATTCCAGTGCCTTTTTTAACTGAGGAAGGTCTTCTAGCTCTGTACAGTGATTATTTCTTGTTTATTCATGAGAACTGAAACTGTTATCCCTGAGACATTGTGGTGTTGTATTCGTATTTGATTGATGATTGTGAAACCTTAACCACTCACCACCTGCCTCCTGGTGGGCTTACTAGAAATATGGGAGTGTGAACAGCAGCTCTGTTGGCTGTTCATGTAGCACAGTAGAGAGCAGGCTGTTTATTGATGGTCAGGTAGAACAGGAGTGGGTAGTTTTCCCTCACCAATAGGTGTGACTGTAGGAGGTTCAGGTGTGGCTGGGCTGCTGTGCCCATTCAAGTGGGATAAGGGGATGGGGAAGCCCAAGGGAAGAAAACAAATACAAAAAAGAAAATTAAAAGCATAAGCAGGGGAAAGCAGACAAACACAGCAAGAAAAAGAATTCCATATGGGGCGGTGGGAAGGGGAGGGGGGTAAGGAAAACAACCCAAAACCAAACTCACTGCCATAGAGTTGACGCTGACTTGTGGCGATTCTATAGGACAGTATAGGACTGCCCCTGTGTGTTTCCGAGACGAACTGATTACAGGAGTAGAAAGCCCTGTCTTTATCCCGAGGAATGCCAGGTGGTTTTGAACTGTCATCTTCACAGATCACAGCACAACTTGTAACCACTACACCACCAGGCTCCTAGAGCAAAACAACATGGGAAAAATTAAAACCAGGGCAGGGGAAACAAAACAGAAAAATGAAAAAGATAATAGTAAAGAAAATATTTTTAAACGAGAAAGTGTGGGGCGGGAGGAGGAGAAAGAAAGGCTAAAAGGAAGGAGAGGAGAAAGCTGGGGCAGTGGTAGGACCCAGACATGAGAAAGCTGTGGTGTGCAGGTGTACCTGCTATGGCACCCTCTGCCAGCCAAGAAGCTCATGGGGTGGGGGTCGGGGGTGAGGGAAGTCTAAGAATCTCACCATTTTTCCTGCCAGCCTAGCTGAACTCAGAGTCCTGAACCAGAAGTATTTCATATGGGCTCAGATGGTGGCTGAGGTCATGGTGCTTAATTCACGGAAAGGAACTCTTCCGGGCTCAGAAGGCAGCCAGGGCAAGGCGGTTGTTACGGAAGGAGTTCTTGCCTTACCAGGGTTGCAGGCCCTAGGCCAGTTGTGTGCCACTGTGCTCTCCACTGTCCTGGTGCGATGGAGCTCACGGACCTCCAGAGAAGGTGGCTGTGTACCAGAAACTGGTTCATAAGGACACGATTGTGACTGCTGGCAGAGCAGGGGATGAGTAACTGACTTGGAGGTGGGTGAGAATGAGGACTCGCCACTCCTCTAGTCACCAGTCGGATGGGAGGGATAAGCGAGGAGCTTATCTTTCTTGTTGTCAGCCACTGGTATGAACCCGTGTGCTGGTTCTGAGCAAGTGGAATGGATTGTGGCCACATCGTTTCAAGCAAGCCGCCAATTCACCCATCTTTCTCTTCTCTGGCCACTGTTATTCAGCTAATCTCTTCTGAAGCACAGGGTCCCAGAGTCAGCATCTTTATCTGTTTTCTCTGTTTCCATTGTCCTTGTTGTAGAGGGTCTTTTTTTACTTATGTGTTTGTTACTTATGTGCCTAGTTCACCGTCTTGCCAGAAGTCCCTCAATAACAGGAATGTTGTCATGTGTTTGTTATGATGAACCATTGTATATGCCGCAAACATTTAATATAATGGGCTTCATGAGGGTTATTCCTAGCTGTGGGCTGTACATAAGTTAGAGGTTTGTAACCCGGGGACTGCCTGTATGCGAGGCAGGATCTGGGATGAATTGGACTACTCCTTGGTAGAATTGGAAGTCTATATGCTTGTCTTTTTTGTCAATCTGGGTAGTTGTTCATTGGTTGTCTTAAATTGCTACATACAGCTAAAACTTCCATAAAAATTAAATTTTCATCTCTTCTGGTATCTATGCCTTTTATTTTTATCTTATTACAAGCAAAAACAATTGAATCTGCTTTTCCATTTCTTAACTTCATTGATGAATATCTATCTTTTCACTTTGTCTATATAAAATGAGAGATTTACTTTTCACTTTCCCTGCTTCTAAGGTGTTATAATACAATCTGGAAGTTTAAGTCTCCATTTTATCTTACTACTCATTCTAATTTTCTCCCCCGCCCCACGTGTGTACCTACCTCTCTGCCTACATCTGCTCTCCTCCTTGCTGGTTCTGTTCTAGCTGCAGAGGCTTTTTGCTTATCCTTCAACACACTAAGAATGTTCCTGTCTTTGGCATTGTTTTCTGTGCCTGAAATGTTTTTCCTTCAGATATTCATGCGGCTTACTTACTCAGCTTCTCAGAAGTCTGCACTCAGATGTCGCCTTCTCTGACCACCTTCCCCAGGTGGTCATCCAAATGCCCCCACAGCCTCCTGTTTTCTTCCCGACGTCAGTCGTGCCTTCAAAGCACCTAAGACTATCTAACTATCCCTTAACCGACTGATTGCTTACTTACTTCTTTTTAATAGTTGTAAGTTCCATAAAGGCAGGAACATTTTTTCTGTTCTTACTGTTTTAATCTTAGTCCCTAGAACACAGCCTGGCATATAGAATATTACATTAGTATTTATTTACATAATGAATTGTTGTATGTTTAACAATTTCACAAGTTGGGACTATTAGGCCAAAGGGGTTATTTTTTAATTTTTGTTTTATAATTCTTCCTTCTCCCCTAATTTTTTTTTTTGCTTGCTTGTCTTATTTCTTACTCATTTATACTAGGGAACACATAGGGTGTGGAATTGAAACGACATGAAAGCATTTGCACGAAATGTATTCATCCCACTCCCACACTCAATATCACATTTTACTGTTCAAAAGTAACTAGCTTTGTCATTTTTTCATTCTTTTGTCCCTCCCAAAAGGTATATTCCCATATCGCTTTTGAAAGAGTTGGTACCAAGTTCCACTGTAGGACAGAGTATTTCAAGATTATGTGTGTCCAGAGCAAGTCCTATTCCCTTTTCTATCACCAACCAATTAGTCAGTGTCAACCGTTTTTAGTGGATGTTACTATCATACTCCCACTGAGTAGGGGATATAAACTCTGACATTTTGTCAGTTCTGACTCATATTGATCCTATTGGACAGAGCAGAACTGGCCCTGTGGCTATCTGAGACTATAACTCTTTACTGGAGTAGAAAGCCTCATCTTTCCCCCAAGGAGCAGCTGGTTGTTTTGAAATGCTGACTTTGTGGTTGGCAGCTCAACTCATCACCCACTACACCACCAGGGCTTTGGCCAGTGCCAAAATCTAGATAGGTTGGAACAAATATCTACACATATGTAGCAAAAGATTTTTAAGAGAAGATCAAGATGAAGCATATAAAATGTCAAGGTTGGAGGCTCTGTCTAATCAGTTCTAGCTTATGGCACCCTCTTATGACGGAGTACAGCTGCGTCATGCAGTTTTCTTGGCTATACTCACTCTTTTTGATTAATTTCCACAGTGTGTTATGTATACCTCATTCAACAATATCGGTGTTTTAGGATATTTTATAAAAGTGTAAAAATTAGGTAAAGGAGAAAGAATAGTTTCATCAGGGAAAGGGAAGAGCACATTGACATTGGCTCGTCTAGGAGAGCATGTAGGAGAGGAAGAGCTTATTATATCTGTGCACCCAGGCGACGTTCAAGCAGTGAGATCCTACTGGGAACATATTTTTATGCCATGAGACTTGCAAAGATAAATAATAAAGCTTATGTCTTGTGGAGGAAAGATTGTTTATAACAAAGATATTTATAACCAAGTCAGTGAGAGGAAATGTTATAGTGACTCAGAGAGCCATCTTCGGCTGTCAGGAAAATGAAGAGCATTTTTAGAGGGGAATGGTGTTTTAGATGTTGTTGTCAGGCACCATCGAGCTGGTTCCACCTCATACTGACCCCATGCACAACAGAAGGGAACACTGCCTGCTCCTGGGCCAGCCCCACAAGTGTTGCTGTGTCTGAGCCCTGTTGCAGCCACCGTGTCAGTCCATCTCACCAAGGGCATTTCTCTTTGCTCCCATTCTGCTTTGCCAAGCACGATGACCTCTTTCAGGGACTAGTCTCTCCTGATAACATCCAAAGCATGTGAAATCAAGTCTCAGTGTCTGCTTCCAAAGGATCATTCTAGCTGTACTTCTTCTAAGACAGATTTGTATGTTCTCTGGAAGTCCATAGTACTTTAAATAGTCTTTGCCAGCACCATAATTCAAATGAAATGATTCTTCTTTGGTCTTCCTCATTCACGATCCAACTTTCACAGACATATGAGGAAATTGGAAATACCGTGCTTGGGTCAGGTTCACCTTAGTCCTCAACGTGATGACCTTGCTCTTCAATACTTTAAAGAGGTCTGGGCCGCACATTTGTCTGGTGGAATACATCATTTGATTTCTGGACTGCTACCTTTATGAGCACTGATTGTGGATTCAAGCAAAACGAAATCCTTGACAACTGTGGTCTTTTCTATGTTTATCGTGATGTTATATGTTGGTCCATTTGTGGGGATTTCTTTACACTGAGTTGCAATCCATACTGAAGGCTGCTTGCTGTCCTTGATCTTCAGCAAGTGCTTCAAGTCCTCCTCACTTTCAGCAAGCAAGGTTTGGGCAGCTACAAATCACAGGTTGTTTATAAGCTAATTAGCTTTTTACAGAAAGTTTGCCAAATCTCCCAAGTGTAAGATACAGATGAGAAAGCACTATTGGTGGCCCTTACATAAATGGAAGTCAGTTATTGGTTACGAATGACGGGGTCAGAAGCAGAAGCAGTGATGGTGAAAGCTTAATAACCTTGAAGGGGTGCAATAGGGAGACCACCCATTGTTGATGGGAGGAAAGGGCGGCTCCAGGCTGGGACAGTCACTTAGTAAGGCCCAGAAGTGGTTTGTTCTTAATCATGTTCTTCTGATTTTTTTTTATGCTAGCCAAGAAGGATCAAGAAGGTGGAGAAGAAAAGAAATCTGTGCAAAAGAAAAAAGTGAAGGAGTTGAAGGTGTTGGATTCGAAGACAGCCCAGAACCTCTGTGAGTCACTCTGCCCCCTCCCCGCCCCCCAACGGCTTGCCGCGCACAGCGTTTCTCTAAGAGCCTCATTCTGGAGGCCCCAGGCCTCCACATGGAGCTCTGACTTGCTGCTGTACGCCGGGCACTGCGGAGTGAGCTTCTGATCTCTTGTTTGTTTAACTGTAAACTTGTCAGTAGAGTTTCATGGCAGGCACACAGTCTTAAGACTTTCGGTGATTTGCTTAGTTTTGTAGTTTGTAAGAGACACAGCTGGCATTTGACCCCTAGATTTTCTTATTTCAGAGCCCTTATTTCCGTTGTATCCACAGAATATCTGCTACAAATGGTCCCACCACTGTCAACTTTTTCTTAGTTCTGATAAGTACTTCTTTTAACTACAGGCACTGACTTGACTTTACTAAAATCTAAGAAATAATTTTGTAGTTTAGGATAAACTATATAAACGTTATACTTTTTGCAGTAGGATCAATATTTCCAGCATCATAGCAGCAATGCACAAGTCTGATTGGGCTTATTTGACAATAAGGATAAATAAAAGTTATTTTGTTACTGTTGTTCATGTCAACTGTTGAGCTACCTATATTATGCTGTTATTTCAGAAAATAATATGCAAGTTTAATGGCTTATTATATCCAATTAAGTGATGTAGGTATGAAAAACAGAATTCAAATAAAGACATTAGTTTAGAGTAGAATGGTCTAGGAGAGATGGGACTTAGTGATTCCACCATTTTTATGTACTGCTTTGTGCTAGAGATACAAAGCTGAGTAAGAATACAGTCCCTCCCTTCATGGACCACGTGTCTGAGGATGAGCGCTATGTTGGAGCGTACGCCACAACACTTATGGTAGTACTATGTAGGAAAGGAAGTGTCTGATCAGATGGCGCAGATGTTATTGGAGGGCGAAATCCTAGAGGACTTTCAAGTACAGCTAACTGAAGGCCATATGTACGTGGAAGACTGGTGGAAAAGAAGCCTTGAAGAATAGGCATACTTCAGAGATACTGCAGGTTTCTGTCCCAGACCACTGCAGTAACGTAAATAGCACCATAAAGCAAGTCGCACCATTGTTTTGGTTTCCCAGGGCGTCTAAATGTTTTATGTACGCTATACTGTAGTGTGAATATACAGTAACATTATGAGAACATTTGAAATATTCACATTAGCAAAATGTGACACAGTGACATGACATAAGGACAAGCTGTTGGAAAATTGGTGCAGACAGACTTGTTCAAAGAAGGGTTGCGTTGCCACAAACGTTCATATTGTAAAAGTGCCGATGAAGTGAAGTGAAGTATACTTGTATATAAAAGCCGAATCATGAAATAATTTTCATAGCTTGAGAATTCTGGATTTTAATTAGGGAAGTGAATATCACAACCCTTTGTAGTTTCCAAAATGGTTACTTTGTGACTTTGAGGCTGGTATGCTAGGGCAGGCGGATACTGTAACTAGAGAAGTCGATTTTGTTAATCTAATTAAAATAAGTAACAGGTGGTCAGGGCCGGAAAGTGGCATAGTAAGAGTGAAAAGGAAGACAAAAGCTATTACGAAAAATGAATTAATTCAATATAGCAGTTGTCTGAGAGGATGAAGAAGGTGTTTCTTGGGTTTAGATCATTGCTGACCTAAATGTCAGCATCCTAGTGGTACGGTGGGATACATGTTGGGCTGCCAACTGCAAGTTCAGCAGTTCAAACCCACCAGCCACCTCAGAGGAGAAATTTAAGGTTGTGTGCTCTCAAAGATTTACAGCCTCGTGAACCCTAGGGAGCAGTTCTGTCTGTCTGACGAGGTAACTGTGAGTTGGAATAGACTCACTGGCAGTGGATTTGGTTTGGTTTTGGTTTATGGAAAGTGGGACTATTTACTAGAATAGGAAGATGCACATGGACCAAGTCTCTCTGTCCTGTTTGGGCGAGGGTGGGAGGGTGCAGCAATGGTTTGATTTTAGGGTAGAACTTAGGTGCCTGCCTGTAGGACGACTCCACGGGATGGGTTTTAGGTATTTGGGTGTAGCAGTCAGGAGGGACAGTTGGGCTGGAGATAACAGATTTAGAAGATTCCATTTGAATGACAGAGGCTCAAAGGGCACACAAAGGCCAGTGAAAACAGTACCGCCTAGTCCTAGAAAAAGGGAGGTGAGGGGTCGACAGTGTCAATGAGGACAAGGATTAAGTAAAATCAGGACAGGACAAGTATCCTTTGGATTGGACACTTGACGGGTTAACTGCCTAAGCAAGAATAATTTTAATATAACCTGAAAGTAAAAAGAAAAGCTCTGAAAGGTTAGATTTCAGAAAAGGATGGAGAAAGCATTCACAAAGATTAGACATAAAAATGGGATGCCTGTACTTGTGACATTATGAGTGATGTAAAACTGAGGCAATATCTTCCCATATTCAGAACTATTACCTGATTCAGTAAAGACGTCATGTCATTGATGGACAAGTGAAATCCTGGCATAGGTTTTGTTTTGCTCAACAATGTAGAAGAGATGAGCAACTAGCGAAGGCCAGCACCATACGCGTTTGTCACTTGCACCCTAGCTGGCTGTCAGTTCAGCAGAAATCAATGGGAACATTCTGTGAGACTCAACTGACTGGAATTGACAGAGGGTATTGTGTATTTTATCACTACTATTTGTAATTTGCTACCCATTCTTTAACACTAAGATTTATAAGTGTGTGTGTGTGTGTGTGTTCACTTTGGAGGGCTGTGGAATCAGTTCCATATTTAAATTTTAGGACTCCACACTAAGCAATATGGCCACAGATGAGTAGCTTAACTTCTCTAAACATTAGTTGAGCTAATTATATCAACTTGCAGGGATTGTATGAATAAGGTTAATGTATGTAGATTGCTTATTGTGTTTAAGGTACTATATTTTACTCAGTATTTGTTGATGGTATGGTGGATAATGTGCTCTCTGCTAACTGAAAGGTTAGAGGTTCAGTTCCACCCTCAGAAGAAAGGCCTGTTTAGTGATCTACTTCTCCCGTCTCGGTCATTGAAACCTTCTGGTCCTAATTCTGACAAACATGAGTTGAAATTGACTCAGTGACGCTTGGTTTGATTTGGTGGTTTGTTGGCAAACTCACTGGTGCTGTAATGAAAGAAGCCACATTTTCAAGGGTTAAAGAAGAAATGAGAGCTATGGAAACACACACACAAATAGACTATTATATATTTTTTAATGCTACCAAGTGAAGGAGAGAAGAGCAGGGGGTCAGGAAGGAATTTTCTTTTTAAAATAGAAGAAACTTGATTATGAATAATGAAAGACCAGGTTTAATAATGAAGGCCACCTCTTCTGTTGAAACAAGCAGAAAGGATGAGTACATGGGTAGAGTTTCAGATACATTTAGCAGGGGTCCTCAAACTTTTTAAACAGGGGGCCAGTTCACTGTCCCTCAGACCCGTTGGAGGGCCGGACTATAGTTAAAAAAAAAAACTGAACAAATTCCTATGCACACTGCACATATCTTATTTTGAAGTAAAAAACAAAATGGGGCAAAAACACCCAGCGGGCCGGGTAAATGTCCTCGGTGGGCCGCATGTGGCCCGCGGGCCGTAGTTTGAGGACGCCTGATTTAGAGTCTTGACATAGTTTTCCTCAAGGTGATTCTAAAACAGTCCTTGCTTAAGCCTTTCTAAGCTTCATTTCTACTGAAGCACCCCGACACGGATAAGTTCTAGTTGGCATAAGGGAAAGCTGGCAGATTTTCACCAGTGGCTTCATTTTTTTCTCACTGACAAGGAGCAAGGTCTTCTCTGAATAGATGAGGAAATGGTGGAGCTGTGAGAATGGAGAGCTTTTGAAGGAACTGCTGGAGGGGATGGAGGGTGGCCTAGCGAAACGTGAAAGAGTACTAGGCAGTGCTGAAGTCCCAGGTCTCACAGGTACCACTAGTTCCAATTCAGAGACTCCAAATGCAGAGTTCTCAGTAGCAGTGCCCCCGTCCAGGTGTACGAATAGAGAAAGGAGATGCTGGATTCACCAGAGACTGGAAAGAGAAGCAAACAGGGGAATTGGGAGTCACCGAGAAGGCAGACTAGAACTGGCGCATCCAGAGAGTAGTCTGCAAACTGAGAGACTGGTGAGCTTAAGAGTCAAATAAAAGATAAAAAGTGTTTTTAAGGAATGGATATGGCCATTTAAGACTCAGATCCATTCAAGGCAGTGGCTTTAAGGATGGAGTTGTGTGAGTGGGGAACGAAAACTGAGTGGGCTGAAAGTTTTTGATGTATGTAGCCACTGAGGGTCAAAGACTTCCTGTGTGAGCGAAAGCACTGAATTTGGAGGTTTTGGAGTGTGGTCCATGAACTGTATTGCTGAGATGGACATAAATGGATCAAAGAGGGAGGAAGTGCCGGGATGGGACCCTTACACATAGGAATTAAAAACTTGGGTTTTAATTATATAGGCAGAAGGGAACTACCTGAATTTTCTGAATGACTTTAAGAGATCCCTCTTAGGAAGATTATCCAGCATGATTTGTAAAATGGAAGGGAAGAGTCTGAGAAGAGTGTGTCTTTATATCTCATTTTCCGGCAGCAATCTTTCTGGGTTCCTTCCGAATGCCCTATCAAGAGATTAAGACGGTCATCCTCGAGGTGAACGAGGCTGTTCTCACTGAGTCTATGATCCAGGTAAGGAGCAAGCTTATCTTCTGCATATCTATAGACTACCCTCTTCCCCTCTGCTTCACTAGGGGAGGGCCCTTGTTGACTTGGAGGAGGATAGGGTTAGAGAAGCTGCCATCATAGCCTCTGGTTAGCTATTTCTGGTATATTTTCAAAAGTCTTGCTATCTCACTAGCTGTCTGTACCCCTCCCAACACGTTTTCTTCTTAATGGCCCTTGCACAGGGAATAACTGAATGGGAGGGTAAAAGAGTCAAGGGAAGGCTCAAATTGTCAACTCATCCCCTCAAACTGAGTGAAGTCCCTCCTTTCTTGCAGAACCTCATTAAGCAGATGCCAGAGCCAGAACAGTTAAAGATGCTTTCGGAACTGAAGGATGACTATGATGACCTGGCTGAGTCAGAGCAGTTTGGCGTGGTGGTGAGTGAGTTCTGCAGCCCTAACCTCTTCTCCAGCTCCTTGCCTCTGGTCTAACTGGAACTTACCGTCTCTCTCCCCCTGCTCTGGGACACCCCCCCCTCCCTGGGAGGCTTCAGCCTGTGTGTGTTCTCACTTCTTTCCATGTCAGTCATCTGTCGTGGAATGACTTGTCTTCTCCACCAGATGGGCACTGTGCCCCGGCTGCGCCCGCGCCTGAATGCCATCCTCTTCAAGCTGCAGTTCAGTGAGCAAGTGGAGAACATCAAGCCGGAGATCGTTTCCGTGACTGCTGCATGTGAGGAGTTACGTAAAAGCGAGAGCTTCGCCAGCCTCCTGGAGATTACCTTGCTTGTTGGAAACTATATGAATGCCGGCTCCAGGAATGCCGGAGCCTTTGGATTCAACATCAGCTTCCTCTGTAAGGTGAGCTAGGAGGTTCAAGCAGGCCAACAAAGTGACAGACTACCGTCGGCCTAAGGAGGCCTGACCGTCTCCCCTCTCACTGTCAGCTTCGAGACACCAAGTCTGCAGATCAGAAGATGACATTGCTGCACTTCTTGGCTGAGTTGTGTGAGAACGACTACCCTGATGTGCTCAAGTTTCCAGATGAACTGGCGCACGTGGAGAAGGCCAGCCGCGGTAGGGCCGGACGGGTGAAGGGAAAGGTGGTTCTGGGCCTCGAAAGCCCCGTGTGGGGAAGGAGTCGAGATACAATGCAGGCTGTAGATCTTTTTCATTTGGTGGTCTTTTTAATCTAGGAATGGGAGAGGGTTTGGGCAAGGTGTCCAAGCCATAAAGGAGGATAAGGCAGAAGAGAAGTCGCCATGGGTCAAAATGGGAAGCAGTGCTTTCACTGACAGCAAAAACCAGCTGGGAGAATGGCAGGTGTTTACAGTCTGGGTCAACACTCATGGCTTTTCTCCTTAGGAACAAGCGCACAAACAAAAGCGGAAGCAAGTTTCTACCTTGCCTTTATTCAAGGGAACTTCAAAAAGTTTGTGGAAAATGGAATTAAAAATTAATGGAAGTTTTCCATGAAGTTTTTTTTTAGCTCTCGTATTTCAATGTATTTCTCTTTCCTTCAAAGTCCTGTTCTCTAAAATACATGCGACTCATGACTAAGGTGACCAGATTTTAACATTGGTAAAGCAGGACACCATTGACAAAACTCATATCCTGGCGAAATAGCCACATGGCAGCCGAAAACCGTATACCCTAGCTTGTTGTGCATTCTTTCCAAAAATTGGGACTTTTTAAAATGCCGCGGGACGCGGGAAAAATTGTTAAAAATCAGGACTGTCCCGCCAAAAACGGGACATCTGGTCACCTTACTCATGACCCCAGAGGACTTCACAGATTCCCATTAGACTAAATGAAGCCTGTCTTCTGTTCTCAATACTGTATGCCTTGTAAAGACAGGGGCTTCAACCACGGAGTAACGAAAGATATAAATTTAAATGTAGAAAATGGCTAGAAGGGCCCATAAGAAAGCTAAAATAAAAAGTACCAGCATGTGTGTATAAATGCCACTGTGACCTAAAGGGTCTTGGGGCTGGGATGGGTAAACTCTTGCTGTCTATTTTTGTGTTTTTTGTAGTTTCTGCTGAGAACTTGCAAAAGAATCTAGATCAGATGAAGAAACAGATTTCTGATGTGGAACGTGATGTTCAGAATTTCCCAGCTGCCACCGATGAGAAAGACAAGTTTGTTGAAAAAATGACTATATCCTTCCTTGGAATGAGGGTGCTGCACACTACAAGGGGAAAGAAAACTTGTCGAGGGGAGGAAGGATAAGCTGGAGAGACCTAATGCTCCACCATTTTTTCCCTCTTAAAATGTGTTTCCGTCAAATACACAGTTCTTGGACACATTTGCATTGTTGGAGCAAAAGTAAGCAAACCATGCAGATAAGAGGAGAGTACACACATACGCACACACCCCTCTCCTTCTGATGTGCACCTCATGGATTTATATGTAGCAAAAATTCCACTGTATTGCTTTTTCACATATTGTTAGCGATCTCGCCATAGCAGCATCTGCAGAACAGCCTTTTGCTCAGTTGCCACCTCCTTTCCCACAGATGCCTCATGGTTTAGGGTTTACCATTTCTCTGTTTTGCATATTCAGATGTCTTCTGCTATTTGGCTAGTACACGCCTCCTGGGTGACATCCCTGTGCGTGCCAGCATGCATCTGTTTGAGCCTTTCTTTGGTCTTGGTCCTTCACTCCTTGGCTGCACAGCTTCGTGAAGGGTGCCCAGGAGCAGTATAACAAGCTGCGCATGATGCATTCGAACATGGAGACCCTCTATAAGGAGCTGAGCGAGTACTTCCTCTTTGACCCCAAGAAGGTGTCTGTGGAAGAATTCTTCATGGACCTACACAACTTTAGGAATATGTTTTTGGTGAGCAAGGGCACCATGTGACAGAATCTTCTGAGGACCTTTCTCATTCTCCACTGGGCTCATGTAGGTGACTGTGTAGGATGTGCACATGCCCACGTTTTCTCACCTGATCCCCCATCCACCCCTACAGCAAGCAGTCAAGGAGAACCAGAAGCGGAGGGAGACAGAGGAAAAGATGCGGCGAGCCAAACTGGCCAAGGAGAAGGCCGAGAAGGAACGACTGGAGAAGCAGCAAAAGAGAGAGCAGCTCATCGACATGAACGCAGGTAAGAGGTGAAGAAAGGCAGATGGGTTAGGACAGGCACTCTTGGAATACTTCTCTGTCTGGAATTTGAAGACCACAGAGACTAGCTCATGTTCAAGCTCAACTCCTGGCAAAATCCTTTTTGCCAGCCTTCTTCTACTTCCAGTGTCTTGGTGCTAGACTTTAACTCAGAGTCTGTTACATGTGTCCTCATATTTTCCGTGCTTAAAATCCTTTTCTCTCTCTTGCTGATTCTTGTATGATGGCTCATCTCTCCAGTGATTTTAGTAGTGCTGTAACACGTACTCTTTCCTTCTGCCTGTCCAAAGGTTGCTCTGGCCGGTCTCCTATCCTCTTTCGTTCTGTCCTGGCCCTTCTCCCACCTTTTAATGGAGTCTCACCCTCCCTCCCTTTCAGCTTCCTTCACAAAGTACTGTGTCTCCAGTACCTTCGCACAACTGTCCATACCAGTCAGCTTGTAAATGAGCTGAGCTTTGGGAGGGGAGGGGAGAGGAGCTGGCCACCCTGTTCTCTCTCCAGCAGAATCTCTGTTTCACTACCAGAAGCATGTCTTTGTTGAAACATATGGCCTCAATTACTGGCCCTCTGTTTCCTGTCTGCTTCTTTCCTGCTGCTGATTCTCTGCCCCCCTCCCCCCTCTGTGGGCAGCAGAAATACAGCATGCATTGCCCATGGCTCTGAGCTGATGCTACCCTTCCCTGAACCTGAGAGGTCACCGGGCTTCTGCAAGTGAAGGGGGTTTCAGGGCTGGCATTTGAGCACTCTGCCAAGCACAAAAGGTGGGGGGTGCTCTAACACCTCTGCTTCCAAGGTCCTTCCCCAGCAGTTCTGCTGTGCGCTGGTGGAACTGGAGCCTGAGGGAAGCAGCCTAGTTTCTTTTCTGTGTGCCTTCTTAGGAAGCAATTACCTGCCCTGATCCCTGCTGGCAAGCAAGCTTTGATCTAGCCATGCTGTGCTGCTAAAATATTCCTCACCTTCCTTTATGCCCCAGGCCTCCAGGGCGGGCCCCCAGGTTCTGTCTAGGAATCCAGTGGGATAAGGGCAGCACCCAGTCAACAGGTGGCGTAGTGGACCTTGCCCTGGCCCTGGTCCCCCAGGGCAGGTAAAAGAAGTTGGAATGTAGGTCAGTTGCAGTGGTGGTGTGCAGACAGCAGGTGGCGCCATGAGCAATGAGCCCTGGGCTGAAAGCTGGCAGCCAACTGGCTTCTGAGGATTTTCTTAGTTTTAGGTTTCACCACCCTGAGCTGTTGCCATGGAAACCGAGCCTGGTTGGAGCAAGGATTCTATATTAACTCTTTGTATTCCAAGCAGGATGCTTCTCATACTCATAGATCTGAATTCAGGAAGATACAGCCACTGGAGGCAGCACTTGGCAAAATGCTCTTACTGCCAGCAACTTCTCATCAGTCCTCAGGCTTGCTCTCAAATGACAACAAGGCTCTGCATGAGAGGCTTCTTATGCACATCGGACTGAAAGAGTGATAGTTCCTTATGACTTTCAAAGCCCCATTCTCTGTACCTATCCTCCCTCACCTTGGAGTTGGGCAGCGTGTGTGCCTGTCCGCAATGAGATGGGTGGGAGTCACTGGGCCCTGCAGGAAACATCTCAGGATAGGCACAGACAGTAGGCTTCCATTGTTTCAGTCATTTTTCCAAATAGCCCAAGTCCACGTGGGCCTCTGAGATTTGAGGTGGAGCCCTCTTTATCTGGTGTTAGCTGCCAGTCCCTACGGCTGAGGGGACGCCACTAGTATCCGGGTGGAGCGTGATATTTGCCGGGCTGCTCAGGCTGAAGAGCACCTCTCCATCTTTGTTTGTGACAGAGGGCGATGAGACAGGAGTGATGGACAGCCTTCTAGAAGCTCTGCAGTCAGGGGCGGCATTCCGCCGGAAGAGAGTACCCCGTCAAGGTAAGTAACCACCTGGGCCTGCTAGTCCTGGACTGGAAGCAGGTAATGATGCCCTGCGAGTTTAGAAACTTCCACCACCACAACTTCCACCACAAAGTGCATCTAGAGTGGGTTGTCTAGCCTTCCTCTCCCCGTGTTAGAAAGGGCCTACTCCACTGACTGGAACCCAGAGCTGGAGGGGCTGATTACAAATCAGTGGTATTTTATTATTCTGGGGTGCCCCATTCTTGGGCCAGAAGCCCAGATGAGGGGAGCCTGGCTGCAGGACATAGGTGTGGGTGTGTGTGAGATGAACAAAATGAACCGGTGCCCCAGATGTAGGAAGTACAAAGCAAATAGAAGTCGGAGTCTTCCAGGTCATAAACAGGAAAGGTATATAAAGAGAAGTAGTAATAGAACGTATCAAATCCCATACCGAGGTGAGGCACCGTTGTGCCAGATGTCAGGATATAGAGGAGCAGTGCAAAGGAGTGCACTGTCTGAGAACCACCTGTTGGCCTCCACTGTCCCAGCCCCACCTCCCACCCCCAACCTCTCCTGATCTTCAGAAGATTTAAATGGATTACATTGAGCCAGAGTTTTAAGAATTATGAGGATAAGAGGACAAATTATCTAGGTCTTAATATAGAGCAGGATCAATGGATAAATTCTCTTTAAGGAAAAAGTCCAGTGGCCAAGTGGTTGGTCCAAAAGAAAGGACCGTCAAAGCTACACTCAGATGGGTTACATCTCATTGTTGTATCTGGTGAAGACCATTTGGGACCAGAAATGATGGTTTCTCTCATAGGTTGAAATGTGGGAATCACAGAAAAGAGATCGTGCTCTATTTAAAGCAGTGCTCCCTAGTCTTTGGCTGCTGTAAGATGAGATCTTTACCGAGAGGTTACTGTAAGCACACAGTGTGTAGGTGTAGGTCTGGAAAAGAGGCCCTTATGATCATGAACTCAAGATCCTGGCCCAGAAGTTACAGACCACTGTGTTTCATCTGTAATGCGCCGTTTTTCATACTCCGAGGGAAACCAGCAGGAAATTCCTGCTAAGGGTCTTTCTGTATGACTTTAGACCCTTCACCAAACAGAAGACTCTCTGCTCACAAGTCTTAGCCATTTTCTGGCTTTCTTTCAGCACAGACTCTGGAGGGAGAAGAGCTAGGGATGGCAGGCTGACAACTCTGGGATGGAGAGAGTGGTCTTCCATATGGGTGTTTGCCGGAGAGCGGAGGGCTAGTAGCAGGTCTTTTCTGTTTAGTCTCAGAGTCATTGCTTCCTACCAACCATATAAGGCAATGTGGCCATAAATTAAGCTTTCCAGCCAACTGAAAGTACTGGTGCATCTCACTGTTTTCCACCACCCATTCAGCTCATTGTCAGTCAGATCTGACTTTTTGTTGGGGAATTCCCTTTACGCCTCTTCCTGGGGAAGTGTACAAGAATCCCAGATGCTTCCTGTACACAGACAGCCAGTCATCAGTGGCGTCCCTCTCCAGGGGGCATTCTCCAGTCCTTCCCAAAGTGGGAAGCCATGCCTTCAAAACAGATTTGGGTGGAACCTAGACTCCTAGTGGAGGCCCCAAATTAGTCAAACTGCTGTCTCCCAGTACAAGAGAGAGCAAAAGACTTATGTTAGGAGATAATGAGGTGAAAGAGTGAACATGTTTTTTGGGGTTCCCCCCACCTTATTTATTTATTTAAATCATTTTATTGGGGGCTCTTACAACTCTTATTGAAATCCATATATACATCCATTGTGTCAAGCACATTTGTGAAAATGTTTATTTTAAATTAACCTCAGCCTATAACTGTCTTTCTGCACTGTGGGTTCACTAAACACACATGAACTTCTCTGGAGACTTTATCAGGGTAACATTTCTAGTTACTATGATAAACTTGTTTTTGGTGGGGCGGGGAGTGGGGGTTAACATTCACCGTTTGTAAAGGGATGAGACTCCGTTAAGCATCAAGGTGAAGTGCAAAGAGCATAGAATTAGGTAGGGCTGAAAAGACCCAACTTCACCAGTTAGTTCAGATCCTGTTCTTCACTTTCCTCCTGGACAAGATGAGTGTTGGGCTAGAATGGTCTCAAGGGTCTTTTCCAGCTTTAATGGGTTTTGGGTTTTGGTTTCCTTTTGGGGAGTATGGTGGTAATATGATTAAGATGCAAAGCAAACAAAATTAGCCGGGCCCAGAATGCCCCATTCACAAAAGGTACAAGGCTCTAGTGGCTGTAGGTTTCCCTGGTAGCTGCTGGACTTGGCTGTTCCCCCCCTTGCCCGGCTGTCTCCGACTGTCCCCGTGGCGATTGCATTGAGCACTCAGCATATCTGCCTCCCAGACCTCCTCATTCCCAAAGAGGCAGCTGCCTCCATTCAGAGACACCAGCCTTTTCCTTAGAATTTAAAGGAATCTTGTTTTTAAAAAGCCTTCTAGTCTCTGGAGTCTTGAGGGAATGACCAGTACACAGAGCCCCACTGAGGAGTTGGAAGAGGAGGGTTACTCTCAGGGCTGGTTCATTAAAAGCAACATGTAAACTGCTATGATCTGCAGGGTGTGGGAGAACAATGGTTTGAGTGTCAGGGAGAAGAATCCATGTGATTGTATTACAGCTACTATTTCAGGCTGATGATTGAGTCAGCTTGTGGTTTTAATGACTCAGCTTTATCTCCATGTCTGATTTGTGGCCTCTTGTATAAAGGCCATCTGTGCACTGGGATAAAAGTCAAGGGAAGAAAGAAATGCATCTCTCTCTCTCTGCCTTTCCTTCTCCCTGCCACTTCAGAGCGTACCTATAAACTCCATAACACTCATCCGACTTTATTTGGGAGACTTGAAACTCCTTTAGCGGTCAACATTAGCCTCTTCTTCCTGTTGCCCTTAAGTCAACCGTGACTCTTAGTGACCCTATTGGACAGAGTACAGCAGACTTACAGGACTTCCTTGGCTATAATCTCTAAGGAAGCAGACTGACACATCTTCGCCTTCTTGAGTGGCCGGTGGGTTCAAATACCAACCTTTGACTGGCAGCCAAGTGCTTAATCACTGTGCCAGTAGGTCTCCTAGCTTCCTCACAGATAAAAGGAGCTGGTACCCTGATAGCATCACTGACTTGTTTAGGTCTGCACCTGTGGCTGGTGATAGAGCCGGAAGTGTAGTCCACTTTGTTAATCCAAGTCCAGAGCTGTTTTCACTAAACTTACACAACTAGACAGGAGGTGGCGGTGTCTGGGCCTTCTGTGTGGGCCAGGTTGGTTTTTTTTTTAATACCTTCCAGAGAGGAGAGTTTTAGACAGGATGCATTTGCCTCAGGTGTCTTTCCGATGGCCACTTACATAGACAAGGTTGGTCAGGGTGTTCCCAATGCGCCACTTGTTTCTGCCGCCCCCTTTCCTAAAAATAGGACAAATTCTAATTAGGATAGTTTCAGACAATAATGAGTTTTTAGGATGGTAATGACTGCCCCATCTGTCCTGGTTTCCTCTTCCCTAAGGAAGCTTATTAACAAGAGCACTTCCTCTTTAGTAGTAATTCCTAGTCTGTGTTTTAGAAAAGTCCTTTTCAAATCATTGACCTTTTCCTACTTCAACTCTCCTGGTACTCTGTGGTGGATTTTGTTAGTGTTTTTGCCCTGGGCCACCCTAGCTTCCAAGAGTCTTCCCTCAGTGAGCTCTGACCACTCTCTCATGAGTGTTTCCTTTCTTCCAGTTGTATGCGTTACCGCATATACTCGAGTATGAGCTGACCTGACTATCAGCTGAGGCACCTAATTTTACCACAAAAACTGGGAATAAAATGTGATGGAAAATTCATCTTATACACGAGTATATATGGTAATAATCTTCCATGATCCCATATACTCAAAATATTTCTCTGTTGCTATTACTCCATTCATATCGTTTTAACAAGTATCCAAGTTAGGGAACGGAGGAGAAAGGTCCTTTTTAATTTCTTTCTTATTCAAGCTTCTGAGCATAATTGTGGCAGGGAGACAGTAGGAGCGGGGATTCCTAGAGACTGCTGCTCTGTTGGCAGTTCCAACAAGAACTTTGTCTCCTGCCTTGGGCCATATCACATCCATCCCTAGTGTGCCCTTTCCCATCACAACAGTGTACCTGCTCATTCTCGGGTGGGTAGCCAGAACTGGTACAAGAAGTTCATCAGGAAAGCCAGGCCCCCCAGGAACCCCGGGCAGCCTGCCACCTGGCTCTCACCCTTCAGACTTCGTTTGGTTCTTTGAACTGCAAGAGCATGTGAAAGGATTTGAATCCCTGGAGAATGAATGCTGAAGCTGCCGTTTGGATGTGGGAGCACAGAGGTCCTCGGGGAGGGACTAGGGGAAGCCCTTCCTTCAGCAGTGTGTATTGCTGGGTGAAGGCTGCTCGGAGATCTCTTGTGGACTTTCCCACGTACCTGCAGAGTCAGCCCAAATGGGCTCCATTTCTTCGCCTCTCGGCCTGAGACGATAGAGTAAAACCTGGTGGCAGCCAGTCAGAGGGCCCTGAGTGGTCAGTCTGTCCGGTCCCAGGAGGGAAGCTGTGTGAGCCCAGAAAAGCAAGGCAGCCTCTGTGAGTGCTGGCTCTCCAGGTGTCACTCTGTGCTCTATGGCTAATCGACGGCGTGTGCTCTCTCTGAAATTCCCAGCACGCAGGTCATGCCCTTCGCTCCATAAGCAGGTGAGTTTCTGCAGCCGTCCCTCAGGGTCTTCACCATTCCTTCTCCTCTTGTTAGACAATCCCTTGTGCCCCTGGGAGGAGGAGGAGGAGGAGGAGGAAGAGACCCAGAAATTGGTAACCTGTGAACATACTTTGTGCTCCCTGCCTGCCTGTGTGTAGCCTCTGCCTGGGTGAAAACACACTGGCTCTGGGTCCTGCCTACAGCCCGTGAAAGAAGACTCTGGCTCCTGGGTGCCACTTGGCTGTGCTCTAACCAACGCTTTTGGCTGGTCCAAGGAAGGCAAAGGCGCTCTGAGCCCTTTGCTCGTTGGCTTCTTTGGACCTCTTCCTCCATCCTCATGTCTCACACCTGCCCCAGCTCTCTGCTGGCGCAATGGTTAGGTGTGAGGTTGGCAGCTCTCCAAGCTGCTCCGAGGAAGAAGTCTGTGTGCATAATAAGATTTACAGCCGTGGAAACCCTATTCTACTCAGTCCTGTGGGGCCACTATGAGTCACAGTTGACTCAGTGGCAACAGGGTTGACAGTTGTTTATTTGTTTTAGATTTGAGGGCAACTTAGGGTACACAAGTTATTACACACTTTGCTAGCGGAAAGGCTGGCGCTCTGAACTAGGGCTTTGGACTAGTTCAGCCCAATTCAGACATGGCCAAGGAAGTGACACCAGAGCAGACCTGAGCTATTTGAATTCAGATGAGCTGTAGAGAGAACCAGCATGTAGAAATCATGGTCACAGCCCTGCTAGAAATTGTCATCTTCCTCGCAGGGCAGCATACAGGTTGCATAGCAACTAAATCTCTTGCCTGCAAAGTGAGAAACAGCTGTTCCTGGATCAGACGTGGCAGTCCACAGTACTGCTGTGACTGTCCTTCTGCACGTCCCTGGGAACCCAGTCTCTGCAGCAGGCTCCCACAGGGCTCACTTGGCATCCTCTGAGCCACCATTCTGTTCAGTAATTGTTCCTGTTCACCCAAATTGTAAAACTCCAGTGCCCTTCTGGTTTCCCTTCGTTGGCTGACTTAACCAGTTTAAACCCTGGCTCAGCCCCACCAGCAGCCCTCAAAGGCAGGCTTGCTTGTCTTCTGCTTCCTGAAGGCCGCAACTTTGAGCCGTGCTCCTCTGCACACCTAGGGCACCAGGAGTCTGCAGCTGCTGGGGTCTCTGCCGCTGAGAGGCGCTGCTGCCTCCCCACCAGCTCTCCTGTCCCAGGCAGCTCCTTGTTTGTTTTTCAGTTGCGCAATAACCCACATCTCCACAATTCACCCTTTTGAAGTGTACACTTGTTTTTTAGTCTATTCACAAAGTTTTGTAACTACCTTCACTAGCTAATTCCAGGACATTTTTACCAGCCCCCAGGAACTGGGAATCTAGTTTCTATCTCAGTGGATTTGCATGTCCTGGATATTTCATACAAATGGAATCGTCACCATATGTGGTTTTTGGTTCTGGCTTTTTTAAATCCCAGACACTGTTTTGTATACATGTGGTCCCTCTGCCCTGCTTCTAGGCATGAGGTGGGCAGAGTCCCAGGAGCCATCTTCTTGTGAGAATACTGGGGCCATAAGTCTGGATTCTGTAAATCAATAAGCAGGAGGAGCTTAAGGCCGGCTCCTAGCAGTGACAGCGGGAGCTCACGGGCGCACTGGTCTCCTTGGGGATGAAAAGGAGAGCTTCACAGTGCCTTAAGCTTTGGGGCTGGGGCTTCTTTGTAGAGGCCTCCTCCTGGCCGTCCTCGCTCATCCCAGCTCTGCCTCTCCCGGCATACTTTTCATTCTCTCCCATGCATGACATTTCCTGTAGGGCATCTGTATCACAGCCACGACCCTCGGAGCAGTGGGAAACAGCTAGGCGTAGGCGTCTGTGGGCTGCAGTGGGGTGGGGAGGGGTGATATGTGATGTGCATGTGATGTCAGAGTGCCGCTGCTCCTCTTTGTAGGGGTCCCCCAGCAGGCTGCTGAAGGCCTTTCCCTGCTACAGATAACCTTCCCTTGTGTAGGAGCTTTCTAGAAGCTGCCAAGCAAGCAAAGATAATACTGTGTTCCAAGCTTTAGTGTATTTAATTCCAAAAACCCTGTGATAAGGAAACTGGCTTTGAGTACCTCATCTCTCTCAGTCACATAGCTAACACTTAAACCCAGTTCTGCCTGTCTAGCTATATTCAAATGTTTCTCTTATTCTCACACAAGGAAGCAAGGTCAAGGCTTAATCTCTTCCTCCAAAGTAGAGCCTCTTTGAACTGGACAGGCATGTTTGCATGGTTTCTGGCTAACAGTCTACTGTAGAGGGCCCGAAGGGGTTAGAAGGGAGGCCTTCCCTCCATGAGATCTCTTGTGTCTTCTCTTGCAGCCAACAGGAAAGCCGGGTGTGCGGTCACTTCCCTACTGGCCTCAGAACTGACCAAGGACGACGCCATGACTGCTGTTCCTGCAAAGGTGGCCAAGAGCACTGAGGGGGTCTCCACAATCCTGGAGGAAACCAAGGAACTGGTTGGCCGTGCAAGCTAAGCTGGGTCCTGTGGCCACAGCTGCTCCTCAGCCGAGGCCCAGGCTGCCCTGCCATGCAGCATGTGCCTAACGGGTCATGGGAACATTGCTCTGGGGCCGCCCCTCTCACCATCCTGATCCTGTCTTTCTCTTTGGCCTGCTGGTCTCTGTACATCACCTACAGCTGCCTAGAGGCCAGGAGGAAAGGGCATTGGGGGAGAGGCTTGAGCCCGACCCAGCCGGCTCCAGCTGTTGTCTTACCAAAGCAGGGTCCGTGTCTGCTGCCTTAACCCTGTCTCTGTTACTCTGAGGCCTCCCTCAGACAAAGGCCCGCTTGCTTCCTCAACCCGGGACTTCCCAGTGGACTTTTCCCTAGGTCAATCTTGCTGGATTTGTGCTTTTCCTTTGTGGTTTCTCTGACCTTAAGAAACAGCATGGGGCTTGTGAACCTTTGGGCTCTATCCCTCCTTTTGTTGCTGTCACCTCTGCTCTTTTCTCTCTCTCCTGGCTTTTATTTATTACTAGTGATGGGGCAGTGGGAGCTGCATCCGAGGAAGGAGTGGGTAAATCCCACCCATACCCACCTTCCTGGGTAAGGCCCCAGTTTCGGCCAAGGCCAAAGCCTGGGGCCCATGAGGCAGGGCTCAAAGACCAGAGACCTTGCAGTCCTAGCCCGCAGCCTGCTGTTAAACGCTTCTGTTTCATGTCGGGGCCTCTCTGGACCCTCTGCACCGGGCGACTGAGCCAAGACCCCTCCTCAGCCCTCCCCAGCACTTTGGTGTGCCTCGTCTGGAGTATGGGCTGTTTCGTAACCATCTCAACATCTCTGTGTCTCCAAGGAAATGGGAGGTGGAGCCTCCTGGCTGAGAAATTGTTTTGCAAATGGATCTATTTTTATATGAGAATTTTTTTGTTTGTTTTTTAAGAAAAATCTCTCTGTCCCACAATGTAAGAGGTTTTGATGGTAGCTTTCCGAGTTCCTGGGTCCTCGCGCAGGCCTCATCCGGTCCACTGCACTAGCTCTCAAGCCTGTCAGACCCTTAAGGCCTCACCCGGCGCTCTCCCAGCATCAGTGCTGGGCAGGGGGGCCTCTTCTCGGGTTGAGTTGGACAGGCCAAGACCTAGTGCAAGCTCTAAGACCACAGAGCTTTTATAAATTTAATATATTTATCAAGCCAAATGTGCAAATGCTAACTGGAAATTCTGGGAAGGTGGGCACAGAGAGTGCCCCCACACATTGTACCAGTGGGCAGGCCACACTGTTCAGGGGCCTCTGCCACAGGAAGCTCAGCTTTTTGGGCTCCCCTGAGCTGTCCACCCCTAGGTCGGAGAGGATAGCACTGTTCGGGCCTGGCCCAGAATTTTAATTGTTAGAGGGAACCTGGAAGACTTAAGGGGGCTGCAGGGAGACCTCGGGGCCTGGAAGAAGTTCTGATTGCTAGGCTGGTCCAGCTCGCAGGAACCTGTGTATGAAGGGGCTACAGCAGTTCCGTGCAATACTGTGGTACAGGGGGCTATCGCCTCCTCCTCCTCCCATCTCACCGACATCTGGGACTTTGACCCTTTCTTTTGTAATCAACTTTTGCTAAGAAGCATTTAATAATAAAAATTTTTTAAAAGGGACAAAATGCAAGCCTATTTCCCGTGCCTCTTGGGCTTCTGGAATGTCATCATCTCCAATTTCTTGGGTTTGTTTCCAACTGTTAATAAAGCATTGAAACTACCTCCTGATGGCTGCTTTGGTGAATTTCTGAGCTGTTTTCAGTCTAACTCGAGTTCCTCTACTGTTTGTCACACACTACATTCACCTGGAAATCATTGCTAAAAGCCTTCATGGTATCATCCATCCTGTGGCATACACTGGGCACAGTTACAGAGATGAGCTCACCTCCCCACCCAACGCCATCAAGTGGATTCTGATGCAGTAGCCCAGGAGTCAAGATAGAACTGTGCCTGTGGGCTGCCAAGGCTAAAATCATTACAAGAGCAGAGAGCTTCATCTTTTCCCTCTGCGTTGGCCGGTAGAGTCAAACTGCTGACCCTGTAATCCACTACACCACCAGGGCTCCTGGATCTCACCTTAGGCAGGGCAGGGCAGGGCAGTCGACCTCCATAATGGCCAGGCAGAACCCTGTCAGCACCCTTGTTGCCTTGGGGTGGGGGTTGGGGGGTGGCTTCTCGCCCTCAGTTCTCCACTGACTGTCACAGTTTCCTGGCAGTTCCTGCCCTTTTGGCAGAGAGTAGCATCTGACTCCCATTCTTCCATCCCCACCACCACTCGGTTAGTCACCACATTCCAGGCTACAGGGGCTTAGGCTGAGTCGACCGGAAACCGCACCTGCCCAGCCGAGGTCAAGGGGTCTGAGGTCATACTCCAGCTGACTGGCTGCGCATAGCCATACTGGCCTGAGCACGCTGTGACCTGCATGAAGAAACGCAATGAGCAGGCCCAACATAGACAGGGAGGGGCCCCGAGAAGACCACAAACCCAAATGGGAAGGCACTGGGGCTAAATATAAAAGCAATTTAAACAGTCCTGCCTGGAACCTGGGCAGCTGCCTCCCTAGTGTGGCCGGAGCTGTGGGAGTGGGCTGGCCCCTACTGTGTCCCCACCTCCAGGCCGGGCGTTTCTGACTCAGCCTTAGGGGCGCACATACTAATTAAGGGACCAACAACAGCTGCTCACGTGCTCTGCCCGTCTGCAGCCGTGCCGGGAATAGAACCCGGGCACCCCGCCCCTCAGCTGCCAGACTCAAACAAAACCCTGCTTCGATCTTGGAAACCTTCCGCGGCGCCCTTCCTCCTTTTGCCAGAAACACACCCCCAGATGTCGAGTTGGAAGGCTTGGTTTCCATGACAACAGAGCTGGGAGGACGGGTGGCCAATCCCTGAGCCCCCGCACTGGGAATGCCTAGAAGCAGCCGCCTCCGACCAGTGATTGGGCGTCCCTCCCCCCATCCCCATCCGCCCCCCTGACGACCCACGCATTTTCACCTCCCATCTTCCCCTCCCCCCTCGGTTGGCGCGGCCTCCCCAGCGCCAGGAACCTCGGAAGCCCACTGTGCCTCCAGGAGGCAGGTGGGGGGCGGAGAGAGGGAAGAGCCCGCGGGAGGGCGGAAACGCACCTGGAGAGGCGGGGGAGGGGCGCTGCGTCTGGGCAATCTGATTCCCAGCCTGCCCTCTCCGCTCCCTGACCAGGGCAAGAAAGGGATGCGGTAAACTGAGGCCCACGCCACAGCGAATCCCTCGTGTTCCCCAAATTACGCAGGGGTGGGCTAGGGGCGGGGGAAGAAAGCGTTTTTCCTCTTCTGGAGCCAGAAGCCCGCTGGGGGCTCCAGGGAAGTCATTTTAGTGGGGGCGGGGAGGGGGGGCGGGAACTAGGGGAACGTCCTTCCTCCTGCACCAATGCTGTTTCCCGGTGCCAGCTCGCCCCCGCCCGCGCCAGCATCTCCTCTTCTGCCTGGATACTGGCCCCTTGGAACCACCCGCCAGCATGTCAGTGCACACTCAATTCCAGTGACACGCCGCACTCGGAAACCCCGCCTCCACACGGAGCCGGAGCCGGGCCACACAATGGTGCCGGGTCAGAAAGTAGCACGGGGTGTGTCCCACACATAGGCACAGGCGCCCACAGCAACACGCAATTCAGAAACCCAGCTCTAGACCCGCAACGGCACGAAACCAAGTCGCCAACACAATCATCATCGCCACTGCCCCCCCTCCCCCGCCATCGCAGCTCATCTCTCAGCCCCTCACTTCTTCCACACACACGGGGCGCCTCCTCCAGGTCTCACAGAAATGCTCAGCCTTTCAGAAGAAACCGTTTTATTATTTTTTTCAAAGGAAAAAAAGCCATATAAATATTAGAGTATAAAACTTGCGTGAGACACAGGAAGGGGGTGGGGCGGGAAGCTACGTAGCTATACGAAGAGAAGCGTTTATAGGAGTCAGTACAGGGGAGGGTCGCCGCAGCAGCGCGTGGACACAGCACAAAACACAGCACGAGCCGCGGGCAGGTTCAAGGACAGGCGGTTGCGCAGAGCCCGCCGCCTTCTGCCCACTCGCCATCACGTTATAAGCACACTGTACTACACTATTGGCTATTCTACACCAGCCTGAAAAGGAAGGGGGCTCTACACTACTCTATGGGCTAGGGTGGGGTTCTCTCTCAGCCCCGCTGGATGGACGGGACCTGGGGAGCAGAAAAGGGGGGTGGCAGAGGAAGGTCTATACACAAGGAGGCACTGGGGGACTTTAACCAGGCTCTGGCCACTGGGGGGAGGGCAGGGTGGACTGGGGACCGGACAGTGGCCTTCACAGAGAAGAGATGGCACCTGGTCAGGTGAAGGGCCTTGGGGAGCGCAGGGACACTGTGGAGAAGTCCCAATGCTTGCTCTTTGCTTCCCCAATCCGGGGATCAAAAATGGCCCGACCCCCACTCCCTACTGGGGCACCACTGGACCCTTCCACCAGTGGCACCTCTGGAGTACCCAGCACCCACAGAGGCCCCTCTGGCCTCTCCAGGAGACCTGGTCCCACACTTGCTTAGGGCTTCCCTGGTCGGCTGACAGTTGAAGTCCATTGGACCTGGTAGCTCAGCCCAACTTTTGCTGCCTGGGATTAACCCTATTTGTGGGAGTGCGGGTCCAGCATAGTGCTTGGCTTATGTTGGAATGTGGGGACCTGGTCAGTGTCCTGGGGGCATAGAGTCTCTTGTAGGACCCTGTTAACTGATGGGTCAAGCTTTGTCCATTCCTCCCCCCAGTCCCACCTCATCCACATACATACCCTGTCCTTCTTTTTCACATCACCCCACACTGTCTTGGAACATGCAACAGATCCTCTTGTTTGGGTCTGGGGTGGGGGTGGGGAAGTCACAGCATGCAGTGGGAACACCAAACAATGAAAAACCTAACAAAAGACTGATCCCCAGGGTGTTGGGAAGAGGCTTAGTAATGCAATGCCCTCCCTAAATCCAGCACAGTACCATGGGGACGGTGACCATGTTCCCCCAAACTTGAGCTTGAGCTCAGGCTCTGCAAGTTGGTGAAGGGACAGGACCCAGAACATGCTTTGGGAGAAAGGTGAGAGTTGGAGGAGAAGCCAAGAGGTCACCATGTCCTTCCACCTCTCCAGAATCGTGAGCCTTTTCCAGGTCACCTGGTACCTCAACACCCCATCCTCCCTCTTACTCAAGAGAGAAGGGTTGTTGAAGAAGTGGGTGGAGTGGGCTAGGGAGGAGGGAAGCAGGGGATAGAAGGCCTGATTGAATTTGGAACATGGAGAAGTTTAGGTGGAACTAGAGGGGTGTGATCAATGATTATTGGTTTCTACACTAACCCCACCATCCCCATGGGGCACAGCGATTGATTGGATGGGGGTTCTCAGCAGAACTCCCTTTGCATATTTAACCCACTGGGGGCACTTATTTGACTGGGCACTTATTTCTGTTTCCCAAAGGGAGCATAGCCTTGGCCCCTACCAGCATCATGGGGGTAGCCCTGAAATTCTGAGGCCTGGGTACAGGTAGGGAGAGGCTGGACTGGGGAGAGAGGCTGCCTGTAGCTCCAGGTCTGGCCTCCACCTCATTTCTTCTCCTTCTTGCCCGACTTCTTCTTGTTGCCGTTGCCACCCGCGGGGGTCTTGCCATCCCGCTTGCCAGCTGCGTTGGTCAGGGTGGCATTGCTGCCCGGGATGTAGACGTTCTGGCGGTAGTCGGGCACGTGCTGCAGAGTGAACTGGGGTCCGTATCGGGCGCTCAAGCCCATGGTGCCGGCACCCCCTCCCAGGGTGGAGCTCCCATCAGCAGCTTCTGCAGAGACAGAGGAAGATCAGGGCTAAATGTAGGGTGCACACAGTTAGAAATGGCAGGACATGCAGTCCCTGAGTGCCAAGGGGGGCCCTATACTCTGTCCATGAGCCCTGGGGATGCAGGAGTCACCACAGAGGGCTCTATCCACAGGGTGATGAGTGCGCTTCGACGTTAAGGACCTCTGGAGGTGATGGCCTAGGTTTGATTCTTTTAAAAAAAATAATTTTATTGGGGATTCATACAACTCTTATCACAATCCATACATCCATCCATTGTGTCAAGCACATTTGTACATTTGTTGCCATCATTTTCAAAACTTTTTCTTTCTACTTGAGCCCTTGTTATTAGCTAATTTCCCACCTCCCTCTCCCACTCTCCCTCCCTCCCGAACCCTTTATAATTTATAAATGATTATTATTTTGTCATGTCTTACACTGACCGATGTCTCCCTTCACCCACTTTTCTGTTGTCTGTCCCCCTAGAAGGGGGTTATATGTAGAGCATTATGATCAGTTCCTCCTTTCTCGCCCCACCTTCCCCTTCCCCTCCTGGTATCATTACTCTGATTATTGGTCCTGAGGGGGTTATCTGTCCTGGATTCCCTGTGTTTCCAGCTCTTTTTTGTTTTGTTTTTGTTTGTTTTATTTTTTATTAAAAGATCTTTTTATTGGGGGCTCTTACAACTCTTGTTACAATCCACACATCAGTTGTATCAGACATATTTGTGCATATATTGCCATCGTTCTTTTCTAGACATTTACTTTCTATTGAGCCCTTGGGATCAGCTCCACTTTTCTTCCCTCCCTCCCCCGCCCACTGTCATAGCCCCTTGATTATAAATTGTTATTGTGTTTATATCTCTCACCAACTGCTGTCTCCCTTCCTCTCTGGTTTCTGCTGTTCTTCCCCCTGGAGGGGTGTGTGTGGTTATGTGCCCTTCATTGCGATCGGTTTCCCCTTCCTCCCCTTCTCTCTCCCTCTTCCCCCTACCCTTTTTGGTATCACTATTCCCACTCCTGGTCCTGGTTTCTGTGTGTCATGAGCTTTATCTCTAGCTTATACCTATGTGCATGCTCCGGTCCAGTCCAGAGTGGGAAGCAGCACTGAGGTCATGATAGTGGGGGGTGAGGAAACCTCAAGGAACCAGAAGTATATTGTGTGATCCATCGGTGCTCTACTACACCCTGATCCCTTCCCTGCGACCCCTCTGTGAGGCGATGTTCCATTGAATACAGATGGGCTTTGGGTCTCCACTCCAACCCCCCTTGTTCTTAACGACTTGTTTTTGTTTGTTTATTTGTGATGAATCTCCTGATGCCCATTACCCGGTCCCCATGACAGCTCATGATCGAACCGGTTGGTGTGCTTCTTCCATGTGAGCCTACCTAACCTTCCCAGGCCTGTAAAATAGGCATAATACTATCTGCTTCTGGTTTGGATGAGGGTTAAATAAGGCCAATCATGTTAAATACCTAGAATGATGCCTGGTTTGTGGCAAGCACTCAAAACATGCTCGCTACTATTTCCCTGCTCAGGGCTAAGATGCTGGCTGTCAAATCCTTACCCTAGCCCTTCTCAAGGCACGTCTCCAGAGAGTCTCCCTGTCTTCCACACGGAGACTAGAGACCGTGTCTTACACACCCCTCCCACCCTGCTCCAGCCGGAGCCTAGCACAGAGGAGGCCTCCAGTAATTATGAACTAAGAGCGGGTACTCTTTCAAACATTCATTTTATAGCAGCAAGTAACTGCCTCCCTTAGATTTGTTGTTGTTGTTGTTGTTACCTGTGGGACCACCTTTAACCTCAACCCAACAACCCAACCAGGTTTGTGGTATTACCGCCTCATTACAGAGGAGGGAGCCAAGGCTGGGATAAGGTAAAAACTTGCCCAGGGCAGTGTATTAGAGCAGGATTGAGTGCTAAGTGCATCTAACGGATGCATCTAACAGCAGCAGCAGCAGCAGCAGCAGCAGCGCGGGCCTTCTGGAGATCGGAGGGTACAGAAGGAGGCAGGGAGAGACTCAGGAGCCATGTTACTAGGAGGCTGAGAGGGTGATGATTCGAGGTCCCAAACACAGTAAGGTAGACAAGGCTCGGAATGTGGGAGCTAGGTGACCAGAGAGAGAGCCTCCCGCCCAAGTTCTCATTAAAACGGGGTCCAGAGATGAACAGCTCAGCACCCCCTGGAAGCTGGTTTGAAATGCAGACTCTCAGAACCTGCCTTTCAGCAAGCACCTGGGTGGGCTGCACAGACAGACGGGAAGATGGAGAAGCACTGAGGCCCACAGCCTCCTGAGTTTTGTGAGGATGAAAGGGACGGTGCCAGGGTACCCCAAAGCGCCCATAAACATTAGCTGTTGCTATTATTATTACCGTTACCACCATCTACCCTACACGCTCCCTGAGGTGGGTGAGGGTGGGCGGAGGCATGGTGGTGGGCAGGTGTCCCTCCTGGCCGGGCTCGGGGAATTCACGTTGGGTCGTCGTTCCGAC